AAAAAAAAGCACCCTCAATGCCTTCCTCAATATTTTCATCACCAATAGTGCAAAATAATTTACGAAGATGTAGTACTTGTCGTATTAGTGTCTAGAGTTTAACGGTCAATATAAAGCTAAATAAGAATAAATTACGAATTATCGCTATGATAGAATCGTTGATGGATGAAGGTAGTCTCTGTTGGCGAAGCACTTAGTAATTTGATGAACAAACATTTCAGCGAATATCAGCACGAATGACGGAAAATTTCTCAATCGCGAAACTGTTCAACATATTCGATATTGACGCGATTCTCTTTGACCTCATGCCTTCTACCGCTTTTTGATCTGATCACATTCCTGCACTTCTAACAGTCCAATTGTAACCAATTTGAAGATAATCAGTGATAAATGATTGTGTAACTATATGTATCAGTTGTGTCAGCGAGTGTTTATGTTCAACACTCAACGAAATGTTGAAAGAGATTCTACGCTTCTCATGGCATGTTCTTTACGGATTGTATAGTTGATGGTTAATTGTCGTTCAGATTCATTGTATAGTTGATGGTTTGTATAGCTCAAGCACTGATCTATTAATGCACATCGAAATTGTGACTTTTTTCGATCATTTCACGTAGGAAGCAAAAACTTTTCGTGAAGGCAACTTTTCCACAGGAACCAATTCGCTTCCGGAATTTTTCCGGGAAGGGCCTAGAGGATCCAAACCCAAATATTTGGTTGAATTTTTCACGTTTATTTTTTCTCATTTCTCCATTCGCTACTGAGCTAATCAAATCATAAGCATCAGGGTAACGTTCCGGGCGTCTCATGTGAAAGATTTCGACTGAGCAAGTTTAATATCAACAGAAGCAGATTTATGAAGAGATTATCTCATTCGCATTTCTACATCTGTCAAATATTCCATAGAAGATGCGATTTCCTGCCAACACTCTTAGTGTGTTCAGCATTGCGATGCAGATGAGAAACAGTACTTCATGTTTCCCAGATTTTGACTTTCGATATTGACTGCTCATTAGCAATACTACTATTCGGTGGTTCGATAAACACCAAATAAGTTCATTTCAAACTAAATTCAGTGAGCGATGTGATTCTCTTGAGCGCTCAGTTATTGAAAATTGTTGATGCAGTTTCAACGAAAGTCGGGAACACGATAATTTCAATAATTTTTAATATTTCTCAAATTGTCCATGACTTTGCTACACGCATTACAATGTTGCAATTTTGTCTTTGTTAACTCAAAATAGCGTTTAACGTGTAATGTCAGGAATAAAATTATGAAATACTTCATGCTCGTTTGAATGAATTCCATCAAATGCTTAACACAATTCTGCTCGACGGTTTGCATTCACCGTTGATTTCGTCAAATATTTAACGTTTTCCCAACAATGTCCATCTATGTTTATGTCACCAATCGTTTACGACTCAGTCATGCAAAGACAACGTTTAAGCTCATTCAGATGTTTTCACTCGTCAAAATTAATTTTTGAACAAATTTCACGCTCACAGTATCATCGAATCTATAATTTCGTCAGCGCTGTATGATCGATGGTGGAGATGTAGCGTTGAAAAAATCAATCGCTTGATAGATATCGCGAGTGGTTAATGCTCGTGTTATTACCACAAAAAATTCAATGTCAAACGCTTAAAATGAGACATTCTAATTTTTGATCTATTCACTCCCTTATCAGTCGCGTTTGAAACGTATAGAAAACAAGTTTTATCTGTCAGTCGCTTGCAAAAGTCAAACTATGAAATTTGTCGACAATTATGGTGAATTCCATTCGTTTCATCATTTCTTTTCGTCCACTTATTAGACTGCATTAGCGAAATATTCTAGAAAACAATTCTTGAATAGTAAGAATACCTTCTATGAGTATTTCTGAGTCGTCAAAAGTCAATCGTTTCGCCGAGATACGTTGCACTCGATGCTTCTGTTCCAGCCAGACTGTTCTATTCCTGTTCTGCTCCAAGAAATGACACAAAACAATTCCAAAAAATGGACGTGAAGAACAGAACGGGACAAAACAACTGAAGGGCCGAACAGAACAGAACAGAGCAGTTTAGCAAAAGTGTGGAACAGAAACATCACTAGCTTGCTATTACGCGCTATCGTTTTAGTGCTATTTGATGTGTATATCTATAGAAGGTATGATAAAGTGTAACTCTTTCATCAGTTCGTAATTTTTCAGTCGCACATGCCTAATTGCTAATTCAGTGGTCATTTGAAGAGACATAATTTAATGGCGAATTAATTTTGAACTGATCATATCAATTCTTAGCGAAACCTCTATTATATAACGAATTGAATCGAAATGAATGAACGCGAAAATTTAATTACATCCTTCATGTGAATCTCAACTCGTTCTAATTATCTTTCATAAGGTATTCATTCGCTCAATGCTTATTCGCACATCTTTTTTCTTCACTCAATAGCAACGCCATATGCAACGATCCGTGAACTCATTTCCGAATATAGACATCTCCTAAAAAGTTAACTCTCTCTCTCTCTTATGTTAGAATCGTATTCAACTCATGTAGAATACAGTGATCCAACAGTGGCTTCTCAAGATAGTGATTAATGTTTTGGATCCAGAATCATGAAACTAAACACATTATGAGCCACTCGCAGGAAAAATGTGCTCTTGAATATTCGTGAAACATGAAAACATGTGTGGTTTGGTGGGCGCTGAAGTGCCGATGAGCTTCATATGAGTTCTCATGTTTGCATCGAAATGCGACCGATCGAAAAATTCTCAAAAAATTACAGAATGATAAATCAAATTCAAAGCGAACAATATTCATCATCTTCCTCAACAACTTGTGCATCGTTGACGAAAGAAATGACTCGGCTATGCGCAGTTTGTGGGGATGTGAGTGATGGACCGCATTTTGGTGCATTTGCGTGTCGTGCTTGTGCTGCATTCTTCAGACGAACTGTCACCTTGAAACTTGAATACAGATGTCGTGCTGATTCAGAATGCAATATTGATACGTGTCAGTTTCTTTGAATCATTCCTGTGAACATTACTAATCGCAAATTTATCACTGAACATCAAAATTTCTTCATTGAAATTATTCAAAATTGTTTGACGTGCTATAATGGTGACTGACACTCGATCCTTTTAGTTGGCAAATTCTAACAAGTTGCAATTCATTGATTTTCCTCAAAGCATACTGATTTTTTCAGTGGCTCGTAACATGTGTAGATCATGCAGATTCCAAAAATGTCTTATGGTCGGTATGGTTGCCACAGGTGAGCGTTTTTAGTTGATCGAACAGCCCAAAGATGTGCTCCAATAATTTTTACAATCTCGTGAACTTTCATTCAGTTCGTTTAATAACCCGACTATCCAATGATGATCTCATCAACTAAAATTGGGTTGAAGTGGAATCAGGCGTTGAACTTTCGTAGAGTTGAACCTTACACTAACGTAATCGTCAGGAACATGAGACAGTTCAGTTTCGAACAACAACAAGTGTTTAGCATCAGAAGTCTCATAATGCATCAGCTTGAGATTCAGCCAATAGGCGACTCATCACTAGACTGGATTGACCCAGTTGAATGAATTTGTTTGGTGCGAAAAAAAAATTTCAGCAGTCCAAAATACACGCGATGGAATCGGAAAACGAAGCTCGTCATCAAGTAAATTGTATCTTGACAAACAACCACGAAACCAGAACTATGAACTTGGACTATCAGCGGGACCGTTCGACGGTCATTCGTCAGAACCGAGATCAACAGTGAATCACTCCTCAGAGCTGGTGATTTTTATTTCTTAAAAAAGATTACTTAAACTCACATCCAATCAGTTGGCAGAGCAACGTTCTAAGCTCCATCAATTCCTTCCTCTAATCGTTCAGTACCACCTCAGAAGATTGTGCAATTGTTTGCCAAGAACGGTGTCTTTTGCAAATGCTACTTTTTTGACGATGAAAGCATTGACAATGTTTTGTTATCCCTTCACAAACTTATGCGATATTTTCGTTTGACACCGATTTTACTATTCAAATTTTTGTTGCACTGCATTGGCCCACAGTTAAGTATTGTAAATTTTGAGGAGTCAGTTCAAGTACTGAATCCGAAT